GAAAGAATCAGAGAAATGATCAGCATTGATACTTTGAATTTCTTTTAGATTAAAAAAATCTCAAAAGAACCAAAGAAGCAAAGCAAAATTAAGATCATCCCAAAGTCTGCCACTTTGAGGTAAGCATTATTAATATTCTGTGGATTGCTTTCTTTTTATTCTTGATTATTTATTTATTTAAAAAAATTTTGGCCACACTGCGCAGCATGTGGGATCCTAGATCCCTGACCAGGGATCAAACCCTTAACCTCTGGCAGTGGAAGCATGAGTACCAACCATTGAACCACCAGGGAAGTCCCTGATTACTTTTTATTGTAAAAAATAAATCTATATCAGTATTAAATAGGCGTGCATGCTAAGTCACTTGAGTCATGTCCGACTCTTTGTGAGACCCCATGGACTATAGTCCACCAGGCTCCTCTGTCCATGAGATTCTCCAGGCAAGAATACTGGAGTGGGTTGCCATGCCGTCCTCTTGGGGATCTTTCCCACCCAGGGATTGAACCTGCATCTCTTATGTCTCCTGCATTCGCAGGCTTTTTTTTTTTTTTTTTTTTTTTACTGCTAGTGCCACCTGGGAAGCCCAATATCTTAATTCACAATTGTCAATATTAATACAACTATACCCATTTCATACATAAAATCCAGTTGTATAGATGGAACATAACTTACTTAAATGATTCAGTGAGGGTTCTTTGATTGCAAGTGACAGAAAATTTACGTCAAACTGACCTAAACACAAAAGGAAATTTTTTGGCTGACTTCCAAAAAGTCCAGAGGGAGATCCGGTTTCAGGCTTGCAGGATATAGGGCACAGATGATATTATGAGGTTTCTGCTTCTCTTTCTGTCTCCCTGCTCTGCCTTCTGCTGCTTTAGTACCATTCACATGTTACATGGAGAGGCAGCAGCTCCAGAGTAGGTGCTTCTGGGTTCTTGCCTGGCATAGGAGAACAAGGCTCTCTTCCAGCAACTGCCACGCAAATTTTGTTGCATTGGTCCTATTTCTGAGCCTATCCCTGTGGTTTGTGGTGGAATCCAGGTGTTTCACCAAATAACTTGGACTGAGAGTAAGAGAGAGAAGGATGGAAGTAAAGATGGATCCTCAGAGGGAAATAGAAGAACGGTTACCAGAATTAGAATGGATGAGTGCTGTGTGGCCAAAATAACAGTTCCACAGTTCATATACTTGGATGTTTAGAACTCACTTTGTATTGTTTCCTAGGGCTTTTGTAACAAAATACCGTAGACTGGGTGGCTCAAACATAAATTTATTATCTCATAGCTCTGGAGGCTGGAAGTCCAAGATCAAGGTACTCTCACTGTTGGTTCTTTCTGAGGACCATGGTGGAAAATCTGTTCCAAGCCTCTCTCTTAGCTTCTGGTGGCTTGTTGGCAGTCTTTGGAGTTCTTTGACTTAGAGAGGCATTGCTCTGATTTCTGTTCTCATCTTCACATGGCATTTTCTCTGTGTTCAAATTCTCTCTTATAAGGACATCAGTAATTTTGATTAGGGGTCCACTCAACCTGAGTACAATCTCATTCTAACTAACTATATCTACACCGCTCTACTTCCAAATAATGTACCTTTTGAGGTTTGGGGGTTGAGGCTTCAACATATGAATTTTGGTAGGACACAATTCAAGCCATAACATGTATCCATACAATGTTTCTTTGTTGTTGTTGTTCCGTCACTAAATCATGTCAGACTCTTTGCAACCCCAAGGACTGCAGAATGCCAGCTTCCCTGTCCTTCAGTATCTCCCAGAGTTTGCTCTAATTCGCATCCATTGATGCGGTGATGCTATCTAACCAACTCATACTCTACTGCCCTCTTCTCCTTTTGCCTTTGATCTTTCCCAGTATCAGGGTCTTGCTTTGGTGACTTAGATAGTAAAGAATCTGTCTGCAATGCAGGAGACGCAGGCTCAGTCCCTGGGTCAGAAAGATCCCCTGGAGAAGGGAATGGCAACCCACTTCAGTATTCTTGCCTGAAGAATTTCATGAACAGAGAAGCCTGGTGTACTAGAGTCCATAAGGTCACAAAGGACTGGACACAACTGAGCAACTAACAATGTTTCTGGATACATTTAAAATCTATCCAGTCTGAGTTGGAATGATGAATCCAGTTGCTTCCTGGTTTCCACTGTGTGGACTAAGAGATTGTATGAGGTGAACCCTAGTCAGTTATTTCAGTCATTCACTTGTGTCCGACTCTCTGTGACCCCATGGATGGCAGCACGCCAGGCTTCCATGTCCCTCACCAACTCTTGGAGCTTGCTCAAACTCATGTCCATCGAGTTGGTGATGCCATCCAACCATCGTGTCCTCTGTCATCCCCTTCTCTTCCTGTCTTCAATCATTTCCCTTCTCCTCCTGCATCAAGGTCTTTCCTAGTGAGTCAGTTCTTCACAACATGTGGCCAAAGTATTGGAGCTTCAGCTTCAGCGTCAGTCCTTCCAATGAATATTCAGGACTTATTTTCTTTAGGATTGACTGGTTTGATCTCCTTGCAGTCCAAGGGACTCTCAGAAGTCTTCTCCAGCACCACAGTTCAAAAGCATCAATTCTTTGGCGTTCAGCTTTCTTTATGGTCCAACTCTCATAGCCATACATGATGTGAGACTAAGAGATTGTATGAGGACTATGAGATTGTATGAGGTGACCTCTAGGGTTCCTTCCATATAACCTAGTGATGATTCAGTGTCTGAGGGCGAGGAATCCATCTTGTCGCCTGAATGTACACCTCAGTCCAACCACTTAGCAGCTTGCGGACTTTGGGCAGGTGACTTAACCTTTGCAAATGTGTCTCCTCAACAGTGAAATGAGGATGACAGTCTTTTACTCCTTGGGTTGTTGTGGTTGAGGCACAAAGTAAGTATTAGTCAATACGACTGTTCCGTCTCTTCAGACACGTGTGGACTTCAGAGATCGGAGGAGAGCTTGACATAACCCCAGTGTTCTCACCCTCTGCTGATGATTTGGCTCAACAATTTCTCCCTGAGGTTCTCCTGAAAGAAGTTCAAGATGGGGAGGGATGCTTTGTTATCCTGCAAACAGAAATTTAAATCCGGTTCAGAGAACACAAAGTATTTCTCTTTCTCCCCTAAAGCCAGATGTGATAAATTTTGAGCAGACTCTAGGCGACGTGATTACGAAATACCTGCTCCCTTTAGGTTCCACTTAATCTGTCTCTCTGACATCTATTTTTTTTTTTTCCTTTACAACTTGATCTTTCCCACCATCTTTCAGATGTGGGCTGGAACCAGTCATTTTATTTACAATCTTTTTTTTGGCTTCATAAATTTGGGGAAATGAAACAGACATCTGCTACTTTCCAAGGCGCCACATCTTTTAGTTCTTTTATACTTTTTCTACAAGCCCTAATTTAGCTTGTCTAGATGCTGACTGAATAACAACTAGGACTCCAAGCTCTTGCATGCAGCATAACTGCTTGCTACAGATGTATCAGGGCTTCACCAAGGTCAAAGGAAGAGGTGTAGATTGCTTTCATTTAGTAAATATTTCTGAAGTGCTGACTTTGTTCCGAGTGTTGGTTTAATCACCAGGTTCATAACAATGAACAAGAGAGCCACTGTCCCTACCCTTGAGTCCTGCACATTCTGGGGACATTCATTCAAGCAGAAAATGAGGACTTAGTACACGTCAGGTATTGTTCATCATTAAACAACACAGATACCATTTCTGCACTAATGGCTATGATGTGTGTGTATGCTTGTGTATGTATAAGGTGGGGGCAGAATACAATATATACATACATATATATATTTTTATCATGTTAAAAGGTAGTAAGGGCTGTGGAAAAAAACAGGACAGGGTAAGGGGATTAGGAATTTGGGGGGGGTTTACAATTTTAAATAGGGTGAGCATGGTAAGTCTGTTGAGAAGGTGATGCTTGAGCAAAGACCTGAAGGCAAGAGGAGGGAAAGGTGAGGAAGGGAGCCTGGATATTTGGGGGAAGAGCAAGTCCACGGGCTCTGGGGCATGAGTGTACCCAACTTTTTCAAAGAAAGCAAGGAGGTCAGTTTTGCTGGAGCTGAGAGAGCAATGTGAGAACAGAAGGAAATGGTTAGGGACAAATCAAGCAGAGCTTTTACCCTGAATGAAATGACGAACAAACAGAAAGTGCTAAGCAGAGCAGGGACATGATCTCAGACGTGAAAGGACTGACCTAGCAGCTAAGTTTAGGCTAGGCTGTGCAGGTGCCGGTGGTATCAGGGAAGCCAGAATCATCAATCACAAGGGTGAGAAGGTAGTGACATAGGAGCGGGGACAGGTCGGGGTAGTGAGAAGAGGTTGGATGACGGATCTGTATTGAAGACAGGACCAACACGATTTTCTGACAGACTGGATGTAGGATGTGAAAGAGGAGGCAAGGATGCCTCCAAGATTTATCCACTGACTGGGGGAGCACGGTTCTGTTTTGGTGCGTTGGGCCAGGAGTGCCGTTCGGACATAAGTTTGAGATGCCTATTAGCTATCCAAGTGGAGTGAGCAGCTGGCTTTTGGCTGTATAATTGATTTTGGGAATATGCTTACGCTTCAGGAAGTGAGATCGTGTTGAGGCACTTTCAGAACTGCGTACGTCCTCCTCCTAAAAGCTAGAACATCCCTGAAGGGCAGCTCATCGCGCCGCTGCAGCCCCTTCGGCCGACAAAGCCCTTCTTTTTCCTCTTTGGGGAATGGCGAGAAAAATGAACCGAAACCACACGCCAAGGCACGGCCTCATTCCCTCACTGGCCGCGAGGAAAAAAGCCCGGGGATTGAGATGGGAACGCAGATGGGTTCAGCGGGGTGGGCGGTCCGGCGGGGGAGTGGGCGGTCCGGCGGGGGAGTGGGCGGGGCCGCGGCGCGGGCGCCCGCCACAGGGCGGGGCGTGGCCGGCCGGGCGCGCGCGCCGGCCTTCTTTGCTCCTGCAGGTCCGCCGGCGATCAGCTGGTCTGCGCTCCACTGACGTGGGCCCCGGCACGTCACCGCCGAATGGCAGCCTCCAGAAAGGCACCGCGAGTAAGGTGAGGGAGCTCTGCCGGGGATCCGGCGTCCGGGGCGTCCGGGCAGCGCGCGGCCCCCCGGCCCTGGGCTACGCGTGTTGCACCCGGGAGGGCAGGGACAAGCGGGTGAGGAGCTGCGGGCGGCTCACCGCAGTCGGGCGCCGGCAGGGGCTGGCTGGAGCCCCTAGAGCGAGGCCACGGGGGAGGGAACCGTGCAGCCGGGCAAGTTCCGGTTGGTTTCCAGAGGTCGCGGGCACCCCCTGGCAGCCCGAGCCGGGTCCCCGGACATGTGTGTGTGCGGAGCTGCGGCTGTCGGCCCGAGGGGGCGGTGGCCATCGCCGCCCCTTCCCCGGCCGGGTGAGAAGGCCCCGATCTGGCAGGAAGTTGACCCCTACCGGCTTTTCTCGGGGTTCGGGGAGGCGGGCGAGCCCCTGCCCTCGCTCTTCTACCCTGGGAATCTAATCCTCAAATTACAACCCTGGCAGTATGACACCTGCAGTTCGCCTTACTGATCTGTCACCGCCACAAGGATAGGCAACCGCGGGCCCTTCCCCACCCAAGTGTTTTCAGAGGCTAGGGAATAATACTTGGGCATAATCTCCAGGAAAGTCCCACCAGTAATCTGCCCCGGGTTCTCCCTGGGTTCAGGGAGGTGAGAAGGATAGTCCTCTGGTCTCACATTAACAGGCTGCAGCCTGTGCTTCCCCCATACCCAGGGAATACTTATCAGAGCAGCTAACAAAATGGGAGAAGGCTGAGAGATACCTTGAGGGTCACAAAGGTCAGAAGCCAAGCACCCTGGCAATCCACACGAGGTCAGCCATCCTCTAATCAGCTGAAACTTGAATGAATAAGCTTCGCAGCCTGGGCAGACTCACTTGCTGAACACAGACCAAGGTTTGTGCTGGTGTTTGTGAGTGGACAAATCCCAAGCCGACCTTGAGTTGAACTTGGCCTTGCCACAGCATGTTAGGGATGAGTAGGGAACCTGCCCACCCTGTGAAAGGGTGTCTGATGTGTGGCTAACCTGCACGGGGAAGGAGCTGCCTGTGTGTTAAGTGCTGGAGGTGGGGTCAGACAAGTGGATTCTGAGTTAGGCCCCTAGGCTGAGAAGTAGCCTTTGAGGACCAAGTTGGTCTTTGCTGATTTCATAGACTCACAACATTTTAGGGGTGGAAGGGTCTTTAGGCATCAACTGAGAGAGCCTTTCTTACCACTGAGAGCTGAGAGAAGGGGGGCCATTTGCCCCAAGTACTTCCCCTAATGGCAGAATTTGAGTGCTATTACTGTAAACATGATTCGGTTTAGATGATGGAAACTAAACTCAAATTGACTTAGTTAAGGGGTTGAACCAGCTTCTAGTGCAGCTGATTCCAGGTGACCACACCAGCTTCAAACTTGGTTTCTCTCTTGCACTTCTTGGCTCTGATTTCTTTAGTGTTGTCAGGCAGACTTCTCCTTTGGCAGGTTATGACAGTTGTGGTCTGACAGCCCCAGCAGAAATAGGGTCTTTTTACCTAATGGTTGGAGCAGAAATTCCAAATATGATCCTCACTGGACTGATTTGGTCCTATGTCCATCGCTGGTTTGGAAGGATGGATTGATCCTATGTCCATCGCTGGTTTGGAAGGATGGATTGAGCAGGCCTGGGTCCCAGAACTTGGTAGGTGAACAGGTGAGACTCATTCCAACTCTGTGGGCTGAAAGTGGAGAAGAGACATTTTCAGAAGGAAAACCAAGGTGCTCTGATCAAAAGGAGGAGGGTTGGATCCTGGGTAGGCAAAAATAACATTGCCCAATTCTTCACCCTAGAACCTGTTCCGTTCTACCCTTGTCTCACCTTACAGGGCATGACTGAGCATCTTGGTCCTTGTTTTGCCCCATCCTGATTGATACACATGTGTGATTCTTATCATGGACTGGGGGCATGGGGAGGGTAATAACACTGCTGGGATTTCTTTAAAAAGAGAGAGGGAGAAAAATGTGCCATAACCATCTTATAGATAGATTGAATAGGAAGTTCTCTGCATGCTTCTTTCCTCTTACTCATCTCATGGCGCATCATGACATCAAGAAGGTGTTGGCTGGAGAAGAGGCTTCTCAGGTGGCTCGGTGGTAAAGAATCTCCTGCCCAACAGGAGACATGGGTTCAATCCCTGGGTGGAAATGGCAACCCGTTCCAGTATTCTTGCCCGGGAAATCCCATGAACAGAGGAGCCTGGCAGGTAGCAGTCCATGGGCTTGCAAGAGTCAGACAGGATAGTGACTAAACAACAACAGCCACAGACTGAAGAAGTCCTGGTCAGGAGAAGAGCACTGAATTGAAACTTGGGAGGCCTAGACTCCAGTTCTAGACTAGCTGTGTCATCAAATAGCTCTGAGGCCTTGAGCAATTTGTTGATCTCTGTCTCTCAGTTTCTTTCTAGAGGTGGGAGCTGAGTTGGATCATCGCTCAGGTATATTCTAGCTCTAACATTTAATGATAACCTTGCTCTGAGAGCCAGAGAATGTGTCTGTCCAAGTAAGTGAAGGGTGGATGGATCTCGGACTCTGCAGAGACCAGGATATGACAGGAGCATGATTGTTTTAATGTGTAGCTCTTTGTGGCTCCTTTGATCCTTACAGGAAGATGGAGTTGGACAGAGAGTGCTTGAACTCAAGTTCTCTGGGAACATCACCTGTCAGACTGATTTCTGGTCTGGTTTTTGCAGCTCCTAATGTTTATGGCCTGTGGCGAGTTGTTTCTTCTCTTGTAGAGTGAGTGAATAGGGCTGCTTTTGAATAGTTGCCCTCCAGCTCTCTTGTCCTGTCTGTGAACCAGTCACTGGCACCAGTTAAACTTGAGTATGTAGAGGAATTGACTTCCTTGGCTCACCATCTTTTAAATGTGTATATGAAGTCAAGGGAAACCAGGTGAGAATGTGACTTGTTTTCTGTCCAAGGAAAAGAGGTTTTTTTACTTTGTAAAATATTATAACAACTTTATTGAGATATAATTCATGTACCACACAATTTACCTATGAAAAAGTACAACTCAGTGGTTTTGAGAATATTCCCAGAGTTGTACAACCATCACCATGATCAGTTTTTAGGACATTTTAATCCTCCCCGGAAGAAGCCCTGTACCCAGTGCAGTCAGTCCTTATTTCCAGCTCCATCCTAGGTCTAAGCAACCACTGTCTACTCTCTCTCTATGGATTTGTTTCTTTTGGACACTGCATATGAAATCATACAACATATGGTCGTCTTTGGCTTTTTTCGCTTAGCATAAAATGTTTCCCAGCTTTACTAGGTTGTAGCGTGTATCAGTAATTATTCCTTTTTATTGCCAAATAATAGTCCATTGTATGCTTAGACCACTTTTATTTATCCATCGATTGATGGATGTCTGGGTTGTTTCTACCTTTTGAATATCATGAATAATGCTTCTGTGAACTTTGTGTGCAAGTTTTCATGTGGACTTGTGTTTTCAGTTTCCTTTGGTATGTACCTAGGAGTGAAATTGCTGGGTCATAGGCTAAGACTGTATTTAATCTTTTGAGGAATGCTGGACTGTTTTCCAAAGCTACTGTTCTATTTTACATTCCCACCAGTGATTTTCTGCTTGTTCCAATTTTTCCACATCCTTGCCCATACTTGTTACTGTCTTTTTTTTGGTTTTTAATTATAATCTTCCTAGTGGGTGTGAAGTGGTATCTCATTGTGGTTTTCATTTGCATTTCCCTTATGAATAATGATGCTGAAAACCTTTTCATATTGATTATTGGCCACTTGTATATCTTCTTAGGAGAAGTGTCTATTTGGAACCTTTGACCATTTAAAACTTGTAATATTTTTCTTTTTATTGTTGAGTTGTAATAGTCCTTTTAAAAAAAGTTTTATGTATTTTTGGCTGTGCTGGGTCTTTGTTGCTGGGTGCAGCCTTCTCTAGTTGTGAGCAGAGGCTACTTTCTAGTTGCAATGTATGGGCTTCTCATTTCAGTGGCTTCTCATTTCAGGCTCAAGGGCATGTGGGCTTTAGTAGTTGCAGCTCATGGGGTTAGTTGCCCCATGGCTTGTGGGATCTTCCCAGATCAGGGATTGAACCCATGTGCCCTGTATTGGCAAGTGGTTGCTTAACCACTGGACCACCAGGGAAGTCCCTATAGTAGTTCTTTATATACTCTGGATACCATAATCTTATCATATATTTGAGTTGCAAATATTTTATTTTATGGGTTGTCTTTTCACTTTCTTCATGGTATCCTTTGAAGCATTAAAGTCTTTAATGAAGTACTGTTTTTCTTTTGCTCCATATGCTTTTGATGTCATATCTAAGAAATCATTGCCTAATTCAGAGTCAGGCAGATTTATGTCTATGTTTTCTTCTAAGAAAACATTTATGTCTGTGATCCATTTTGAGTTAATTTGTGTATATGGTGTGAAGGTGGAAGTTCAACTTCCTTCTTTTACATGTGGATATCCATTTGTCCCATCATCATTTGTTGAAGAGACTATATTTTTCTCCATTAGATGTTGTTGTTGTTGTTCAGTTGCTAAGTCGTGTCCGACTCTTTGTGACCCCATGGAGTGCAGCGTGCCAGGCTTCCCTGTCCTTCACCATCTCCCAGAGTTTGCTCAAACTTATGTCCATTGAGTTGGTGATACCTTCCAATCATCTCATTCTCTGTTGCCCCCTTCTCATCTTCCCCTCAATCTTTCCCAGCATCAGGGTCTTTTCCAACGAGTCAGCTGTTTGCATCGGGTGGCCAAAGTATTGGACCTTCAGCATCAGTCCTTCCAATGGATATTCAGGACTGATTTCCTTTAGGATTGACTGGTTTGATCTCCTTGCAGTCCAAGGGACTCCGACTCTCAAGAGTCTTCTCCAGCACCACAGTTCAGAAATATCAACTCTTTGGCACTCACCTTCTTCAGGGGATCTTCCTGACCCAGTGACTGAACCCATGTCTCCTATATTGGCAGGCAGATTCTTTACCACTGAGCCACCAGGGAAGCCCTCATTGATACATAAGTCTATCTTTATGCTAGTACCACACTGTCTTTATTACTGTAGTTTTATTAATTTTGAAATCAGGAAGGGTTGAATCCTTCAACTTTGTTCTTTTTCTTGATTGTTTTGGTTATTTCAGATTCTTTGCATTTCTGTATGAATTTAGGATCTGCTTATAGTGGAAGAAAATTCATGAATTAGAGACTGAGATTTACCTGCCATGGTGATGTTTTATCTGAAACTTACTTATTTCATCACTGATATTGGGGTGAGAGTTTTTCCGTCTCATAAAGGAAGATTGCTAAGTCAAGTTGATATTCCTCTCTGACTAAACCTTGCCACGTTTACTGAGGTCAAAGTCTGCAATAGCCTATTCTTTCTTTTCCTTAGGGCAAACTACCAGGATTTTCAGCTGAAAAATTTAAGAATAATTGAACCTAAAGAGTTGACATACTCAGGAGACCCAGGTGTGGAAACAGGTAATAATTTTGCCTCTTACTTTAGACGGAACATCTTGGAAGGATTTTAGATTCCTCTACTTCAGCACCAAGTTGAGAGAGAAGGGAGGGTAAGGGGTTAATAATTGATCATGACTAGGGATGAGGGGATGTATGTCTGGAAATTAAAAACCATTTTGTCTTTTGGCTTCCTGGGTTGTTGGTTATTGTGTGTATGTGTGTATTTTGTGTGTGTGTGTGTGTATATATATATATATATGTGTATATATATATATACACACATGTATATAATGTATATATATGTTACTTTTTTCAGTAGAAAGTAGAGAGAGATGGTTTTTGAATTCATTGTTCTTGGCATGGTGGTGATGGTGGTGGTAGTGGTAGAGATAGGTTGTTATTGAAAAAGTTCTAGTCTGATTTTTCTAATTTCTAATATAATTTATTGACATCCTTAGAGATTGGCTTTCAGTTTTCATCTTAAGACTGTGAAATAAGTTTATAATGTATTATTGTGCTTTATAAATTGAACAGGCTTTCAGGAAAATCCTTTGGGTAAAGATTTCTGTAACCATATCCTCTTCCCAGAACTGATCAGTTATATCGTTGGGTTGCCAGAAACCCAAATTCCAAAAAAAAGTGGTATTTTTCTATATTTCCAGTCCCTTTTCTATAGACTACCCAGGAGGACTACAGTGTTTCCTTCTAGTTTACTGAAAAAGATCAATCCCACGAAACACATTAGAAACCATAACTGATCTCTCTTTGGAAGATAAATGCTGTAACTATATGCAATTTTAGGTCCTTTTCCTTTAAAAATGTGGCTGTATCCAACACATTTTGGGCCATGTTAGGAGAAAGGAGAGGAACGACTGAGAAGAAGAGGAAGTAGGAAAGGGAAAAGTGATAGAACCATTGGATTTAGAGTTTGGTGAGAATTTCTCTTTTTATTACATATGAAGAAATAGAGGTTCAGGGAGATTCAGTTGTCCGAGGTTGTAAATTCCAGCTGGAAACTGGAGCCCACTTGTTTTGACTCCTTTGGTCTTTAGAATTACTTTAAGAGAGCCGCCTCTGTTATGTTCTCTAGATAATATGATGTATCAGTGCATGGGCTTGGTAATTGGATAGGCCTTGGGTCCTCGTCCTGATGACCCACTTGAGTTGGGTCATCAAGGATTTGACTTCTGTTTGTTTATCTGTAAAATGGGAAGAGTCGAACCTCCTTGGGCGGGGATTATTATGAGGATTAACCACTAATGTATGTAAAGCTCTTGGCTCTTGCTCAGCGGTGGGACAGAGCAACAAACTCTAAAAGCTCTGGGTGCTGGAGGAGCAGCTTGGCATCTGTGAAAATGTTAAGATGCTGAAATTGGAGTAAACCAGCCCCTTCTATTCTGGTAACAAGACATGTAGGAATCCCAGCTGGTGCTTCAGATTCAGATTGAAGTCATATTTCTTAAGCTTCTACAGTGTATCAGTTGCCGTTCATGGTGCTTTCACACAGGCTCTCATGTTAAATTCTTCTAGCCACCCAGTGAGGTAAATAGGGTGTGCTCTTCATGTAATTCCAAGCAGTGAAAAGTCTTTTGTTTGTGATAAAGGTTGAAGGCTTAGGAACTGATTTCTAAAAGCAGACCCACATATGCAAGAGACTTTCAAATGAGTCATTCTTTTTAGAGCATGATTTAAAAATACCTGGCAATGTATGGGCTAATTTTACATCATGCACTAGGTTTGTTGTTCTTGGCTCCCCATGTCTCTGCACACCCTGATTAGCTCTTGGCTGCTTCTAATGTTTCTGAAAAGTAATGGGATGTGGAATGAGCAGATGCTAAAATATGGCGTCTTCTAGGATGCTAGCTTTCTTTCACAGAAGATTCATCCTTGTTTTGTTGAGTCTGAAAAGATAGGCACAGAGCTGTGATACTCATTCAGCCATCTTCAAGTGAGCTTATGCATGTTTGAGATGCTGGGCTAGGTACATGGATTCAGGGATGAAGATGACACGGCCTCTGCCTTAAGGAGAAGCGATATATCCACCATTTCTCCCATTGCTTTCATAGTTATTGTAGTTAATTGTGTATCTACCTCTAGTAATTGCAAACACAACATTTACTATGTGCCAGGCGCTGTTTCTAAATTCTTCCCATATGGTAGTCCATTTAATCCTCATAAAAACTAGCCTATGAGGATCACCAGCCATGATTTTCATCTCCTCCATCGTGACTGTTGTTTCAGCTGCTGCCGCCTCAGTGGTCGGGTCTCGTAATTGTGCCTGCCTTGTCTCTTCCTCAACTCTCGCTGCCCACTAGAGCAGCTTGTAAGGCCTGCTTACACTCGCTTGTAAGGCCCGTTGTCCTGCAGCCACCTTTTCTCATTGTATCCATGTCTGTGATAGCTGCCTCCATGGCCACAGCCCATTTGTGGCCTCAGCCACAGCCATCCTGTCTGTTGGCTGTGGTATTGGGAATCTTTTTGTTGAGTCTCATATAGGTGACAAAGACGTGTCTGCATCAGTCCGAGGACACTGACCAAATGTGAAGGGCATGAGGGATGAGGAAGGCGGGCTCAGGGGAGATGTTAATAGTGGTGAGGGTGGCAGGTGGCATTGTGGAGGGAAGTGTGAAGATGCCCCTGTAGTGGAGTGAAACTGAGGATGCTGGTGGTCCTGAGGGAGGCCAGTCTAGAGGAGGAATGTAATTGATGAGGCGAGAGATGGTGATGAAGGTCAGAATGTGTGCTGAGGAAGCAGGCTCTGGCGACCAGTAAACAGAGATGCCCTTGACCGGCTCCATCTTGCCTTTGATGGTTTTCAGTGTTTGCTTGCTGTGCTAAGTCGTGTCAGTTGTGTCTGACTCTTTGTGACCCTGTGGACTGTAGCCAGACTTCTCTGTCCATGGGATTCTCCAGGCATAAACACTGGAGTAGTTGCCATTCCCTCCTCCAGGGGATCTTCTTGACTCAGGGATTGAACCCATGTCTCTTATGTTTCCTGCATTGGCAGTCAGGTTCTTTACCACTAGTGCCACTTGTAACTGAAGATTTTGTGCTTGCCATTGGGTCTGTTGACTTTACTGATGAAGTCAGTAACTGATAATATTGATTCGTACTACAGTCAGCACAATAAACACCTAGTCAATGCCAGCAAAATCCTTAAGTCAGGATGTGTCCAAATAGAAGTCAATTTCTTCTGTTTGGAAGAACAGAGGAAATTAATGATCTCAAAAGAAAATACATTGGTTTCTATCATATAGTTGCTTTTTAAAATTCCAGATGCTCAGGCTGTACTCCCTAGGTAGCTCTCATGTGCCATCAAGGTTGGAATACTACTCCAAAGGATGTCTACATTTTTGCTTGACTTTTAAAAATATTAAATTGCTCAGAAATATGATTTGGAAGCACAAATTTATTCTGAAATCCTGAAAGACATCATAATAAAGTTTTCAGATGCTGGCAAGCTTGTGAAGTCACAACAGGCTTTATTTTGAACCCAGTGGAGGTATTAACATGTAAATTTAGGTCATTAGATACTTCTGATCCCTCTTTTTCATGTACATAAGAAATTATAGGCTCAGTAGGACAGACAAAAGGAAAGGATGTCCCTCTGAAAAGTATTCAGAAGCAACTGTAATGCAGGGATCATGGACATGTTTGATTCATGAATAGGACCGTTTCTGGTGTCTCTCTCTTTTGGAGACTTCTGTCTTTTGGAAACTTCCGAGTGGGAGCCCTGAGCCCAGTAACTGAAGCTGCCCTTGCAGATTATGAATAAGATGGGGCACTTTCCCAGTGAGTCCCAAGATTAGTATCATACCCTGTAGGGGAATCTACTGGAGATAACCATAAAGACTGAGGCCTTTATAGCCCAAGGTGGTGGTGGTGATGGAGAAGCACCAGATAAAACTGTTAAAGAAAAAGAACCAAAATTAAAAAAAAAAGATCCATACCTAGCAGGCTATAAGCTACAATGAGTCAGGGTATAAACTTTTAAAAAAAGATTTATTTGTTTTATTTTTGGCTGTGTTGTCTTCCTTGTTGCACTTGGGCTTTCTCTAGCTACAGCAAGAGGGGGCTGCTCTTCATTGCAGTGCATGGGCTTCTCATAGCAGTGGTTTCTCTTGTTGCAGAGCATTGGCTCTAGGGTGCGTGAGCTTCAGTAGTTGCAGCATATGGGCTCAGTTGTTGTGGCTTCCAGGCACTAGAGCAATAGCTCAATAGTTGTGGCACACAGGCTTAGCTGATCTGCAGCATGTGGGAGACTCTGGAACCAGGGTTCAAGTTCATGTCTCCTGCATTGGCAAGTGGATTCTTAACCACTAGACCACCAGGGAAGCCCCAGGGTGAAATTCTTAAAGATAACCTGTAGTACAATGGCCTCAATATAACTCTCCACTATTTAAAGCATGGTGCATTAGGATGTTTTTGGTTAAGCCAAGTATTTTTTGTTTGTTTGAAAAACTGGTTGGTAAAATCCCAAAGTCTGAAAACACCAAATGCTGGCTAGGATGTGGACCAACAGGAACTTGAATTCATTAATGGTGGCAATGCAAAATGGTACAGCCACATTAGCAGACATTTGGTAGTTTCTTACAAACCAAATATACTCTTACCATATGATCCAGCAGTCATGCTCCTTGGTATTTAGCCAAACGAATTGAAAACTTACGTCCATACAAAAACCTGCAACATGGATGTTTATAGCAGCTTTATTCAAAATTGCCAAAACTTGGGAACAACCAAGATGTCTTCTAGTTTGTGAATGGATAAATATTAATAAGCTGTGGTATATCCAGACAATGGAATAATAGTCAGCAATAAAAAGAGATGAACTAGTAAGTCATGAAAAGACATGGAGGAACCTTAAATCCACATTGCTAAGTGAAAGAAGCCAATCTGAAAAGGCTTTGTACTGTATGATTACAACAATGTGACTTCCTGGAAATGGCAAAACTATGAAAGCAGTAAAAAGATTAGTCATACCGAGGGATTGGAGGAGAGAAAGGAAGAATGAATCGACTGAGCAGAGAGGATTTAAGGGCAATGAAAATTATTAAACTCTTAAATCATAATGATAGGTACATGTCATTATACATTTGTCAAGACCCACAGAATGTACAGCACCAACAGTGAGCTCCAGTGTAAACTATAGATTTTGGAGGATCATGGTGTTTCAGTGTAGATCATCAGTTTTTATACAATGTACCTCTCTGGAATTCAGCTGGTCATTGAGTTAACGTGGGACAGTCTGACTGGTTTTGGAACAAACTCTCTTGTTGTTGCAGACAGCAGAATGGCTCCGAAGGTAACTTCAGAGCTGCTTCGGCAGCTGAGACAAGCCATGAGGAACTTGGAGTACGTGACAGAACCAATCCAGGCCTACATCATCCCGTCGGGAGATGCCCACCAGGTACTGAGTGGAGATGGGCTGGTGATGGGATTCTTTCCTCCTCCTTTCTTTTCCTCCTTTCCGCCCTCAGTGTGTTTGTACCCTAGGATTCTAGTTGTTAAACCACATCTAAGTGTGTCCTCCAGGGACAGGCACTGGGAACTGTGTCCATTTGAACAATCTTTTAACTATAGGATTTCTCAGAGCCTTTGATATACTTGGGTGCACTGTGTAACTCTAAGAAGCAGATGAAATATTCAGCATTTTCCAGATTTAAACATCTGTGGAATTTCCAGTCATCTCACAGTGGAGTAGGGGACCCAGTGTTCCAGGGAATTCCTTTTTCTGTAGATCATCAGTAGCAGTTTCTATATAATAATGGGTTCGAACTTGCTCCTTGAAGAGGAGAGGGGGGAGAATAGAATGTAAAGAGGAGAGGCTGCTGAAGAGGAGGATTTGGCATGTGAAAGTGGTTGAAAGGTTGAAGGAGGAGGTGGGAGAGCAGGTGTTAAGTGTGGAAGCAGAAGATCAAGCAGGACAGGATGTGGGAAGACGTGGTGGCCGGGTGCATTAATGTTAAGTTTAGTAGACAGTGGGGAGATAGAGACGTGGGATTTAGGGTGGGGGTTTGGTAATGGAATTCTTCCATTCGCCTCTGTTGTTTAGATGAACAGGATTCACTAACTTCATAGGAACCAGAGTTTCATCTTTTGTCTTGACTGAGGACTGAACGTGAGTAGGTAGCATAGCTAGCACAAGTTGGGCCTGAGACGTGTAGGTACCAGAGGAGGCAGGCATCTCACCCTTTAAGAAGGACAGACCTTGGCCTTATCCACAGGGAACTCCTTTCTTCTTCCCCTGCCTGGGTACTTCTGATGGGCCCTTACCTGCTTCCCGTCTGTCCCAGAGTTCAGCCTTTGGACTTGGGCTGCAGGTCACATGGATTCTCTGTTGAATTTATCAGTGGCATTTCTCATTCTCTTGCCTTTCAAGCATCAGGCAGTTGTCCTGGACTGATTTGACTGTAACTGTCCATCTCAGTATTGGGTGGGATGGTGGAGCACATCATGTAGCAGGTGGTTTAGGGTCTTCTGTAAGTCCCTGCATCAGTAAGGTTCTCCAGAGAGACAGAACCAAACACATGCATATGGGGAGAGAGGGAGAGAAAGAGAGAGATATTATGATATTATGAGCGGTGGCTCACACAACATCAGCTCCCTTGGTTCTCAGGCTTTGGTTTGAACTGGAATTACACCTCTGGCTTTCCTGGTCCTTCAGCTTGCAGAGGGTACTAGGGATGTTTTCACATCAAAGGCCTGAGAACCAGGAATGCTGAAGTCTGAGAGCAAGAGAAGATGGATGTCTCATGTCAAAGAGGAGAGAGCGAATTTGCCCTTCCTACACATTTTTGTTCTATTCAGACTCTCAACGGATTGGATGCTGCCCCTGTATATCGGTAAGGGCAATCTTTATTGGGTCTGACAACTCAAATGTTAATCTTTTCCAGAAACAACCTCACAGACACACCCAGAAATAATGTTTTACCAGCTTGCTATCTGGGAATCCCTTCACCCAGTCAAGTTGCCACCTAATATTAACACTCACAGCCTCGCACACTGTTGTCTGAAATTGGGTCTCTCCTTTCAAAGGGTCTCACAGGCAGTCATGGAGCCCCAGCCAAACTCCTAATAGTTCTGCTTTATTTATGAACCTTCACCTCAAGGTGAGGCCTCATTGTAAGGAAAGATGTGACCTGTGAGTATTACTTGCTTTAACCGTTGACGGTTTTTTCCACTTAAGAGTGTGGAGACTTTGTAATGTTGGTATTTCAGTTTCAATTTTCTTTTACCTGAAGTAAGAAGAGGTGGCAAGAATACACAGAAGAACTGTACAAAAAAGATCTTCATGACCCAGATAATCACAATGGTGTGATCACTCACCTAGAGCCAGACATCCTGGAATGTGAAGTCAAGTGGGCCTTAGAAAGCATCACTACGAACAAAGCTAGTGGATGTGATGGAATTCCAGTTGAGCTATTTCAAATCCTGAAAGATGATGCTGGGAAAGTGCTGCACTCAATATGCCAGCAAATTTGGAAAACTCAGCAGTGGCCACAGGACTGGAAAAGGTCCGTTTTCATTCCAGTCCCTAAGAAAGGCAATCACAAAGAATGCTCAAACTACTGCACAACTGCACTCATCTCACACACTAGTAAAGTAATGCTCAAAATTCTCCAAGCCAGGCTTCAGCAATACATGAACCGAGAACTTCCAGATGTTCAAGCTGGATTTAGAAAAGGCAGAGGAACCAGAGATCAAATTGCCAATATCCGCTGGATCATCGAGAAAGCAAGAGAGTTCCAGAAAAACATCTATTTCTGCTTTATTGACTACACCAAAGCCTTTGACTGTGTGGATCACAATAAACTGTGGAAAATTCTGAAAGAGATGGGAATATCAGACCACCTGACCTGCCTCTTGAGAAACCTGTATGCAGGTCAGGAAGCAACAGTTAGAACTGGACATGGCACAACAGACTGGTTCCGAATAGGAAAAGGAGTATATCAAGGCTGTGTATTGTTACCCTGCTTATTTAACTTATATGCAGAGTACATCATGAGAAACGCTGGGCTGGAAGAAGCACAAGCTGGAATTAAGATTGCTGGGAGAAATATCAATAACCTCAGATATGCAGATGACACCACCCTTATGGCAGAGAGTGAAGAGGAACTAAAAAGCCTCTTGATGGAAGTGCAAGAGGAGAGTGAAAAAGTTGGCTTAAAGCTCAACATTCAGAAAACTAAGATCATGGCATCTGGTCTCATCACCTCATGGGAAATAGATGGGGAGACAGTGGAAACAGTGTCAGACTTTATTTTTTTGGGCTCTAAAATCACTGCAGATGGTGATTACAGCCATGAAATTAAAAGACTCCTTGGAAGGAAAGTTATGACCAACATAGATAGCATATTAAAAAGCAGAGACATTACTTTGCCAACAAAGGTCCGTCTGGTCAAGGCTATGGTTTTTCAAGTGGTCATGTATGGATGTGAGAGTTGGACTGTGAAGAAAGCTGAGTGCCGAAAAATTGATGCTTTTGAACTGTGGTGTTGGAGAAGACTCTTGAGAGTCCCTTGGACTGCAAGGAGATCCAACCAGTCCATCCTGAAGGAGATAAGTCCTGGGTGTTCAATGGAAGGACTGATGCTGAAGCTGAAACTCCAATACTTTGACTGCCTCAGGCGAAGAGTTGACTCATTGGAAAAGACCCTGATGCTGTGAGGGATTGGGGGCAGAAGGAGAAGGGGACGACAGAGGATGAGATGGCTGGATGGCATCACTGACTCGATGGGCATGAGTTTGAGTAAACTGGGAGTTTGTGATGGACAGGGAGGCCTGGCGTGCTGCAATTCATGGGGTCCCAAAGAGTTGGACACGACTGAGCGTCTGAACTGAACTGAACTGAAGATAAAATCTGTCTGTTTACAGACAGAGGAGCCTGGCAGGCTACAGTCCATAGGGTCACAAAGAGCTGGACACCACTTAATGACTAAACAACAACAAATGGGCCCAGAGCAATTTCTTATTCAGCTTTGGAATGGCAGCGACACTGGCCAAACCCCAGGTGATGTTCCAGGCTTCTGCTCAGTGCTTCATCTCCTATAATGGGTCTGGAATTTCAGAATTGGATGGCCCCTCCACGGATAAGAAAGCTGAATCTTTAATCCTGGAAAAATGTGTTTTCCAGCAATGTCCTGAAAACAGAAAGTTAAGCTTGCTTGATATTAGCTGTCACTTTCGTTGCAGAAGTTACTGTAGAGGCTCATAAACTTATATTCTTGGACTCTTGCTGTCCTCTTCTCTTTCACCACACCCGCCCCCCCATTTTTCTTTTATAATCTTTGACTATCACTTCTATTGCTGTAGCCTAGCCATCGGCCTTGCCAGGCAGGAGAAGTTGTGCTTTGTCTGTGCATGTTTCCTGACTGCCACAACAGGGCTAAGTATTGGGTACTGGCTAAGTAGAGGGCCAGCAGTTGGCGTATTAGTATGTGTATGGGCTCTAGAAACTTGTCTGGGTTCTGGTGCCGGGTTTGTCACTTAACTAGCTGTTTGATCTCCAGCTAGTTACCTCAAATTCCTAAATGTTAGTTAAACACTCGGGTCTCAGTTTCCCCATCAACAAAAGAGGGATAGAGACATACCTGTCTCTTAGGCCTATTACTAGGATTAAAACAGATATAAATGCTTAAAGCATATCTGTCACCTAATAAGTCTCTTTATATTTGTTGCTATTATTATTGTTGCTATTATTACTATTATAGTGATGAATGAAGGGAAATGTTCCCTTAAAGAGATTACAGAGTAGATAGCCCCTGTCACAAATCTAACACAAAGTTCAACTAGTAAATGTCATAGGGAAGAACTCAGTCAGTCCAATAGAAATATCTGAGGCATGTATGTAGTTTAACAATTCTAATATTTATGGTGAGAAAAAAATAAAAAGAAACAGTGAAATAATTTTTTTTTTTTACACCAGTGTGTCCAAAATATTGTCATTTCATCACATCACATCACATCATCATTTACATTCCTTTTTTTATGCTGCTAAGTCACTTCAGTTGTGTCCGACTCTTTGTGACCCCATAGACGGCAGCCCACCAGGCTCCCCCGTCCCTGGGATTCTCCAGGTGAGAACACTGGAGTGGGTTGCCATTTCCTTCTCCAATGTGTGAAAGTGAAAAGTGAAAGTGAAGTCGCTCAGTCGTGTCCGACTCTTAGCGACCCCATGGTCTGCAGCCTACCAGGCTCCTCCATCCATGGGATTTTCCAGGCAAGAGTACTGGAGTGGGGTGCCATTGCCTTCTCCGTCCTTTTTTTATACTAGGTCTTAAATTCTGGTATCTATTTTATTACAGAACATCTCAACTTAAGTGTGGACTGTTCATTGGACATATTTGATCTGTATTTAGATTTCATAAGATCTGCAGTTGAAAAAGTGGACTTAGTTGCCAAAGTTGT